AAAGAAACCATCTCCAGCATTTGATCATTCACTACCTTCATCAGAACTTTTGCAAAAAATGGTTAAAATGCAGATTTTAAGCATGTATTTGTTCATGATAAAGTTTTTTGCTATATTGCTGGTTGATTTAAAGCAAACTTGCGTGATTGATTTTTAAGAGGCAAGGTCGTGATTTTCTCTGCTGGTAGTCACATGTGATGAGGCAGTGCATTGCTTCTGAGTTGGGTGACTGGTTAACTTTTCCTTTCTTTATTTACCAGCTATGGACTTTTGGTCAAGTTATAGATAACTTTTAAGCCTCAGTTTGCTTCTTCGCATAGAAGTGGTATTAAGTACCTGACTCATAAGATTGCTATTCAGATACAAAATCCAATTAATACTACCTAACTCACAGTGAAGACGCAATAAATTTAATTATGTGTATTACCGAAAATAGACCAAATTTATTATGAGTCAGGCTTCTACAATTACACACACACACACACACACACACACACACACACACACACACACATATATATATATATAGCTACAATTATTATATGATTATATTAAAAAATAAGGGAGGACTCTCAAAATAATTTTTATATTTATTTTTAGTGTGTGTGTGTGTGTGTGTGTGTGTGTGTGTGTGTGTGTGCGTGTGTCCATGGAGGTTAGAGGAAGACGTTACATTTCCTGAAACTGGAGTTTTAAGAGGTTGTGAGCTTTGTGAAATGGTATTTGGAACAGAACCCCAGTCCTTTCCAAGATCAGCAAGTACTCTCAAACACTGAACCATCTCTCTAGTCTCCAAATGTAATACAACATAAGTTTCTATACTAAAATGTCTTTGCTATTATAGTCGTTTTACATAATTTATAAATTGTATTTGTTTATGGAGAAAGAATATCAAATACCAATGCAAAGTGGCCTATATTTATATATGTAATCCAGGCTGGCCTTGAATTCTCCCGACTCAGATTACTGTGTTTTGGGGGTCACAGACATATCCCACCATGTTGGCTTAGAAATCATTGTCAATTATGAGAATACAGTAATATATATTTGGTTAGATAATGGTCATGGAATTTGTCATTTTTCTCTTTTCTTTATTTCCAAAAAGTTAAGAAATAAAATTTTGAAATTACTCTATGTAAATCACCCAGAGCCTTTGGTGTACATCACTTCTTGTGGACTTGGGATTCTTTATTTATGACAAATAATCAAAGAGATTATTGGCTTCGATATGCTATTATTAGGAAACAGACCATTTTCACGAGTAAGTAGTTACTAAATTGAATCGTTCCAACTTACGGGATGCTAGCCATTTAATTATTTTATATTTTTTAGGTGTAAGAAATTCAATCAATCAAAACAAAAAACTATTATTATTCCTCTGTAGAAACAGATATTTTTTCTCTTCCCTATTGTCTGTTTGTTTGTTTATTGAGGGATAGTGTCTTCCTATATTGGCCTGTCTTGGCTCAAACTTGCAATTCCTGTACATCAGATTTCTAACTGCAGGGATTTACAACCAGATTCAAATTTTCTTGATGCAAAGTAAAAATACATAGTTATTTCATAATTGATCTGTTTTATAAGTAGAATGATATGCATAATAATTTCATCTCAGAAATTTTTACTTTCTATATTCATTGGTGCATTTTTTGGTGCATTGCACTGTGTCACACAGGAAGTTTTCACTATGATTTTCTAGGAAGCTTGTAAGTATGTGCAGTGCTTCTGGTTCATTATTACTCCTGCATATTCCTTTACTCTCAATGTGTTTCCATATAGCAATTAGTTTCCATACTACATTTATTTGCTTATAGCTGTGGTAAACAATGCTGCAGTGATCAAATGCATACATGAGTCTTTTCTTGCATGCTTTTATATCCAAAGACTAAATCTTCTGAAATAAGATTGCTGTGATAAGGAGTATGCATTCATAATTTAATAGATACTCCCCCAAACAGTCTTCAACAGGAAAGCATGCAAGACTCTATGCTGGAGCCCGTTTCCACAAACTCACCAGGATGACATCAGCACACTTCTGGGATTTTTCTAATTAGCCACTTTTTCAAATGATCTTTAGAACCTTTGCATTTACCTTAATAAGATTTGTAGTTTTCTTATTTGTTAGTTGTACATGTAAATCCCTTTGTCCATGTTACTGTTGTGTTTTGAGGTCTGTACTAATCAATGACTTAGAATTCATTATGTCTTAGGAAGATTTTCTCGTTAGTTGTGATTAGTTGCAAGTATTACCCTCCCTCCAGTCTGCCAGTCTTTTGTAAAGTTCTTACTTTAAAAAGTTGCAGAAGTTTGTCTGTACCATTCGCTAAGGAATTGTTCGAATGAATTTAGCTAAAGGCAGTGTATTCTGGAACAGCAGGTTTTCATTTGAGTTGCTTAAAGCCTCGGGGTTCCACAAGGCATGTCTGTGGAGTTCCTTGAAATGCAGCACAATTGTGGATCAAATGTTAAAAATACATGAGTTCCCACTCCTTGAGACCATGCTAGGAAGCCGCACCCAGTGCTGGAAAGCCAAGACATGAAGACACATGAAAAATTACACAGGTTGTAATTTCTCGCGCAGAAAAAACAGCCCTGAAGTTATGAGACAGCATGATTTTCATGGCTTCAGTAGAAAACTTCTTTGTATCTGGTTATATCTCTGACCCCAGTCGCTTTCTTTTTCTTAATACTTATATAATCATTTTTGATTTTTTTTTCTTTTTAACTGCCTTTGAAGACAATTCATGAGGAGTCGGAAGTGGAATGTGGTGGTTCGCGTAGGAATGGCCCCCACAAGACTCATGTATTTAAATGCTTGACCCATTGGGAGTGGCACTATTAGGAGGTGAGGCCTTCGAGTGGGTGTGGCCTTGCAGTGGGTGTGGCCTTGTTGGAGGACTCATTTCTGTGGGGCAGCCTTTGAAGTCTTATATGCTCATGCTATAGTCAGTGTGGCACAAAATATACTTTTGTTGCCTACATAAAATAGCCTGGTGGGGATGGCATATGCCTTTAATCCCAGAGCTCGGGAGACAGGGTAGATGGATCTCTGTGTTCCAGGACAGGCTCCAAAGCTACACAGAGAAACTCTGTCTCAAAATGAAAAAAAAAAAAAGAATTCTAAGCTCCTTGTCCAGCACCATGTCTACCTACATGCTGCCTTGCCTCTTGCCATGATAATAGACTAAACTTCTGAAACTGTAAGCCAGCCCCAATTAAGTGTTTTCCTTATTAAGGTTTTCCATGGTCATGGTGTCTCTTCACATTTGTAGAAACCATAAGATATAACGTTTCTGAGACTGAAAGCAGAATGCAAGGACTAAGGTGAGCCAATCCCCCTTTCCCTGCTGTGTCAACTCCTTTCTCACACCCTCCCCTATCTACCAGTTCCTGATGAACTCAGAACAACCCTGGAATTCTGCCAATGAAATTCAGAAATAAAAATCTGGAGATCTAGTCCATTTCCTGATATAAAATGTGATAGAAGGCTCCCTCTTCCCATAGGGTATTTAGGAATTTTTGTGTGTCTCAGTTTCTGTATCTTTTAGCTTACGAGAAATCCTTCTTTAGATAGAATGTAAAGAATACGTAATTGTCAAGTTACCCTACTTAGTGGAATTGAGAGAGAGAGAGAAAAAGAGAGAGAGAGAGAGAGAGAGAGAGAGAGAGAGAGAGAGAGAGAATTATAGTAGCTTTCCCCTTAGTTTATTCTCCAGCATCTGTCCTCTGAAATAACCATTTGGTATTCTTCACATTATATGCAAATCTGAAGAGACATTAATGAAATTCTGATGACTGCCCTGTGGCCTTACCCAGTGTGTCATATGAGAATGAAAGGGACACGGTGTGAATATGAGCAGCCGTCTGTGCAGAGAACGGAAGAGAAGGGATCCCAGAAACCTAAACCATATTGTTCTTTCTGCCGTGTCCCCTAGAGGTCTTTAATTTGCCTTACAACAGGAGTTTTCCTGACTTATCAAAGAACTGTGTGCAAACTTTTACCTCTGTAGACTGAGGTTCATCTACACCTTTGAGTGAGATGAATATCTGTGTCATTATTTAGAAGTGGCAGGTGTAGTCATATACGTCTTGATACCACCTATAATAGCTCCATTGCCTCAAAGAGTAACTACAACAGGTAGGATAGCCCTGTTCCAAACCCTAGAATGAAGTGTTGGAGATGTGAGACAATGGCAGAATCTTCAAAATCCTAAGACCATTTCTAGCCTTAAAAATGCATTCCTCAATTGTTAATATATTACTTCACATGATTAAGTGTGACTTTGCAGTCAGGAATTCCATAAAGATTCTAAGCTAATATCAATATATCTAGGGGACTCCTGATTGCAAGAATAAGTGGGTTTCTGACTCTTATGCCTGTTCTTGGAAATCTTTCCTTCCTATTGAGTTTCTGCATCCATATTCAATATCATAGTTTTTGATTCATATTTTTACATTTTATTTTGTTATGTTTGGTTGTTATCTTTTAGAAATCTATTCTCTTTGGGTGAAAGACAGAAAGGGAGATCTGATAGGGACAGGAGAAGTAGAAAAGATGTTGGAGGAGTAGATAAACTAAGGGAAACCATGTCCAGAACAGACTGTATGAGAAAAGAATCTAATTTTAATAAAAAGAAGACAAAGAATGAAAAAAATGTGACTTAACAAATATGATTTTACTATTCAGAGTTTCAAAGTGGAAAGAGTATCTTCATTTGGATACAAATGGTAGCCAATCTAATTATATCAGTTCCTAGGTTAAGAACTTTTCTGCCTATTGAGTTGAAAACTGATCGAGGAATGATTAGGGGTATGCAGCAATGCTGGTTTTAAACTCACAGATGCAAACTCAAGAGCCAGCACAGAGGAAAAAAATTCAAGAAAAGGCAACACATACTCCAAATATTTCCAGAAGAGCTTTCAACCTTGTTTGCTCCCCAGTCTAGCCCTCTCTGTCCCATGCGGCCTCGTACATAAAGAACTCTAAGATAGCAAATGTATATCGCTCTAAGTCACTGTTTATTGCGATTGTTTCAGCAATGAGAGAAAACTAATACACCAGATGAAGCCAAACATGAAGCCAAATGTACTCGCAGCTTTTTAAGATCAAGTGTTAAAATTATGTAGCATGAGCAGACGTTATGCAGCCAAATTTTGCTTGTTTGCGATCCATAATCCTCATACTGAGGAAGGCTTTGCTGGAAATTGCATTAATAAGTCAGGGTACCATTCGTCATTAACACTTCACCGTGCAGTTGTTATCTTTCTATTGGTGGCCTAAGTCTCCCAAGTGACTCTTGGAGAATTCTCCTGCACTGAGGAAAGAATAATTTATAATTAATCTTTCAGAGTATCACTTTCAGAAAGCATGTTTGTGGAACATTTTGGAACCCTCTATATTTTACACCTGGGTTCTCACAGTATTTGCTTCCAAAATAAAGGCCAATTTATACTGAGTACATTTCTAAACCGAGTTAGAGTTTTATTAATTTAGATAATGCTTGGAGACAACACAATTTTCACTGAGAAGCTGAGAGCAATGGAGATCACTTTGGGAGCATTTTAGAAAAACAGAGTTTCAGAAATGCACTGCCACCTGGGTACTCTCTCGTGGGCTTGGATCAGAGACACAGTTATATTTCATGGCATTGAGCTGTCTTCCAAAGGAAATACAATCCTCCCCAGTGCTTAGTCGTTTTGTGCCAGGCAATGTGTGATAATTATTGAACACGTACATTGTAACTATATGGAAAACGTGTCTGAACAATCCCATTGCACATCTGGGAAAACAGACTCCATGAGAATATGTCTCTCTTTCAGGTCATGAATTTATCAATCCTGAAAGTGGAATCACATGATGGACTAGTCTGACCTCAAAGCCCACAAACTGTGACTCCTGAAATGTATCCCTGTTACGACGACTGCGATGTTGCAGGCCTGCACATTATTTTAGTCTCTGCACACTATTTTTCAGTCTCTACTACAGAACCAGAGCTTGGTCATGATTATTTGATGGTAAATTGAATGACTGACTGCAAAAAAAGAAATTTATTTTTGGATTTTTCAATGATATTTAGGGAAACTGGTATTTTCAAATATAGTTTTAAGGATAAAATTACCTAAGCTGCAATAAAATTAAAGTTAAAAAGCAATTTTTTTTAAAAGCATACTTTTTTGAAGACAAAAAGCTGTGTGTTTTATGTCTGAATTTGATCATCTCATTTTCATCTTGGTAAAAGCCCATGTACAAACACACACACACACACACACACACATCATACACATGCACATACATACATGCATACACACATGCAAACACATATCACACACACACTCACACACACTGTAGGTTGCCATATTTACTTTTAAGAATTCACGCTTCCATATTATAGAATTTTTTTCCTTCTACATAGACTAAGCATGGAATTTCTTGGGGAAACAAGACATATGCTACAAAGTGTGGAGAATTTAACACACAAATATTATAGTAGCTTTAACACATTATGGAAACTAAGCCATTATAAATTTTGTGGCAAGTACATTTTGAGTGATAGAAAAAAGTTAATGCGTCAACCCTTCTTCACATTATGAATCTTAGGGTTTATTCTCGTGAGTCATTTTAACAGCAGAGCTCCATTATAATAGACAAAGTATAATTAGATTCTAATACATAAAACATTTGAAAAATAATTTCTATCTATAGGTAAGATGGAAGCAGAGGGTCCCTGAGACCCTGGCATCCTACCTAATCACCATGTTATCTCTATAGCAATCCTGGTGTCATGGAAACCCAACATAAAAACTATTAATGTTTGTGTTATTTTGCAGAATTCTCCAAAGTACGGTGAACATTTGCAAAGTGTCATGTTGAATTTGCCTTTACATGACTTTTATTTCTCGACTCATTAAATGTGTATTTTATCTTCAGAGATTCCTCCTATTTCCAAGGTTATTCATTTTTACAAAAATATAGAAACTGAAATGTTGTGAGATATCCACCAGAGAAAACTACTAAAACATGGATTCAAGACAATAGAAACTCCTTAGTAGCCAGTCTGCAATTACATTGGGTATTTGGAAACCCAGTGCAGTCATGAGCCTTTCTCATGGTGGGCTTTTAAGCACAAAAAACGCATCCTGGGTTGACACACCCCTGCTAGCTGGTACTGTTATCCAGAAGTAGAGCTATAGAAGCCAAAGAACAAGGGTATTTCAATTTGGTACTTGCTCTTCTTGGAAAGTTCTTTGCTGGATTAGGTCTTGTTCTCATTTGGCAGCTGTTGTCTCTGCACTGGATTCCAAAGCCTGGATGGTACTTCCGTCATGATGTCAGTTGTGGTAAGATCTGGGGGCCTGTCACATTATTTTTAAAAAGGTTCAAGATTTAAAATGAAATGGCATCATTCACACAGCCTCAGTTAGAGCACTGAAGAGTTTTGAGATGTGCATCTTGCTTTGCCTGTGACAAGTGTGATGCTTATCCTTGGGGAACACATAGGAAGGGGGGATCTGATCTGGGAACCTTGTTCCCAGGAAATTCTCAGATTCGCTGAGCAGTAGGCTGAACTACAGCTGTCATTTCTGTAGTGAACAGCATTAAGAATCAAGTTCAAAACTAACTATCTTGAAGAGATGAGAATTGGTGCCCTTTATCCCTTTGTTGTTGAATATTGAAGTAAAGTGATAAAGCTTAAGATAAATTTTGTTTTGTTTTGTTTTTGTTTGCTATATGACTCTCATGAATTTCAGCTAAATACACAAAAAGATGGGGCAAAACCGGTAGCTAATTACAGCTGCTATTTTTGAACAATGATTAAATAAATATCCAAGAACCATAAAACAGCCTGTTAGTCATCCCATGGTATTGATAATAACTGTGCCAGGATTATGCTTATTTCTGCTTATGGGAGGGAAAATTGATATGAACAGAGGTTATGAAACTTTTCCAAATGATTAAATGTATGAATGTTGAGGCCAGGTTTTTCAATTAAGTCTTCCTGGCTCTAGAACCCTGTGTTAGACAGTCTCTTCCATTCTTGCTTGGGTTTAGCATCTAAGTCTTGAATAATTCACACTGCTCTATTTTGACTTGGGGCGTGCTTGGAATTGCAATCATGCACGACAACAGTGTAAGCACATCTGATCTTTTATCACAAGGAAGAAGCGTTTTATGTTGTTACTGCACCCCCAAGTGTAGAGGCCACAATCTCAGCAAGGCAATTCCTCCACTTTTATCTCTCCTCCACGACACTCTCTTTTCCTGCTTTTACTCTTCCTGATGAGTGGGTTTTAAAGTGAATTGTGATGTACTTCTATATGGACCAGAAATCGGATTGCCTGATGAAGTACATGTGCCCATTAGTTTAAAAATCCAACTGTATCACTGGAGTCCATTTCTACTTAATCTTTCAAAGTCAAGAAAACTATGGCAAGATTTCTCCAGTTTCCCTGCTGTTTCCCTGGATGATTGAACTGCCCCACATTTCCCCCAAAACACATCCAGCCATTTAACTGCTGGTACAGCAGTGGAAGATGCCTTTGGGAGGCTATGGGAAGGATGGCTATTCATAGTGAAGTGAAATAGCAGCAATACTAAAGAGGTCCCCAAGGTGGCAGCGCTCTATGATGCTTCTTGATGCAGGCATAGAAAGCCAGAGAGCATTATTTAAACAACTGAACTCAGGAGACCAGTATATTCCCACTGCCTTACACCGCATGGAAGGAAAATGCACCCACAGAGTCAAATAAACCTTTTACTGCCTTTCTGATTCCAGGGAGATAGACAGTTAATCCGCTGAAACCAGGACAAAGTGTGTCTGGGGTTATCACATAATGGCAACGGTGTCTTTTACATTATTCAAACACAGGTTTATCAAATAAAGGAAAGAGAAAATATACAAGTACGCAGAATCATCTGAATTACTATGGCCTTGCTTACTTTCCTCTCCCTTTGCAAGACTCTCCAGAATGCGTTCCTCTGCCTTAACGTGTGGAAGAGGATATGGGTGGTTAGCTATCTGTTTTGCAGCCCGAGGACTAAGAATCTATTGAAGTTAGGGCAGGGTGAGTGGTGGAAGCAAGGCTAGGATTCAAGAGGAGGGAGTAACAGCCCTAGGAATATTTGAAGTTTGGAATTATTTTGTCATTGGCACAAAGAATAAAAGAACTTCTCTACAGGAATACTGTGCTGTCTGTATATCAATTATAAATCTAAGCTTGAACTCACAGTTTCCATGTCTCCTCTCCCCATTCCTACTTTCGCTTTTATCTTCCTAAGCTTCATAAAGTCTTTTGTCCATCTTATATCAGAGACCTTTCCCCCAGCCACAGATATCTCCTTGCCCCTCTGAGCCACAGGGATATTTGCAGTGCTTTCCAAGACTGGTCTTCTTGCCTTCCTTTGTTTAGTGCAAACACTGCCTGCAGCAATTGAAACAGCCAGGATCACTGGCCTCTCCTTCATTGGAGGCTGAGAACACACGTTGGAGAGTGTTCTCTTAACTGAGCAACCTCCTTGGTAAATACTGCACAACTAAAGCAAAGGGAAACTCTGTCCAGACCTGCAACCGCTAACGGGAAGCCTCTTTCCCTCTTTCCCTATTTTATTTCACAGTTTTAAGCTTTGGAATTATTGTAAATTACACAAAAATTTGTCCATAAATGTGTTGCCTAACAAGGAAGTTAAGACTCTGGAGTCCTAAGGAATAAAAAGTACATTTGTACCATGTTTTCAAATAAATAAAACCGAAGACAAAGAAAAAAATAAATTCCTTTCAAAGGCAATGTGTGCCTTGGTTCTTTAGGAAAACCACTTTAGTAAATGATTAGGACAAAAATTACCAGAATAAAGTGAATAGCAAACACGAAGCACTTACCTATTTTCAGAAAAATGAATAAAATACATTATTGAAACACTTGTCATTCCATAGAAAAAGAAATCTCGTTTAAAGTGAGGGCATGTGAGGAACTGACATTCTTACATACCCAATTCTCTTCCAAATAATTACAGGCCAATGTTGACTGTGGGAGTTTCTAGAAAGTGACCGTGGTTTTGAAGTAGAACATCTTACATCATGAAAGGAAGAAGGCAAGAAAAGGGACCTTGTCTAGAACTGACAAGAAAGCCACCTTCTCTTTTGTACCAGAGACTTCCACACATTAAAAACAAATCCTCAAACCAAAATAAACACATAAAAATGTGCCTGAGGAGATGAGGGAGTGGATGGGAGAAAAGAAAAACCTGCTGTTTTACTTCATCTATATTTATTCTGACCATAGAATAGTATCAGGCAGGAAAAGATAATATAGTTTTCAT